GCAGGCATTGGGCAAGCTAAGTATACATAAGCGCCCAGAAATTTAAAACTACCACCCCTCTCCACCTCCTCGACATTTATATACAATGGTAAACGTTACAAATGGCAAGCTCAATTGAGCCCAACATTTCTGTTGCTAAATGAGACATTTGTTAAGTGAATTTTCCCCCGTTTTATGACTTTCCTTGCCACAGCTGTTAAGTGAATCACCACAGTTGTTAAGACCTAAGTGAATCTGGCTTTCCCGTTGACTTCACTTATCTGACAGTCGCAAAAGAGGATGACATGACCCCGAGACGTTGAAATCATTATAAATATGAGCCACTTGCCAAGGGTCTGAATTTTGATCACGTGACCATGGCGATGCTGCAGTGTGTGAAAAATGGTCCTGTCACCTTTTTTTTTTCAGTGCCGTCGTAACTTTGAATGGTCACTTATTGAACTCTTGTAAGTTTGGATATTGGTTTCTTGCAAAACAAAGTTTTTAGTCCCTAAGGGAGAAAAAATAATAATAATATGATAATAACAGGAAGCTTGCCTTCACATTACTGGAGATGGAATAAGATGCTCACTTTAGAAGATTAGGTAATTTATGAGTCTTGGCTACTGATGTTAGCCTTAAGACAGGACTGGCTTATGATCTGAATTAGGCAGTATTAAGTCTAGTGAAAGGTTTCATCCTTGAATGGATTGTGATCTAAAGGCTTTGGAACATGCTAGCAAAACATCTGAGTGCTAGCAAGAAGTTGAAGGCTACTGGCAAGTTAAAATATTCTTTAAAAAGGAAGCTCAGATATATACATTTGCTGTAATACCAGACTCAAAGAGGACACAGACTAACCTCCAAGTGGCCTCAACGACCCTCTAAAAGGATGCAAATTACCAACTGTCTGCAGAGGAATATAAAACCTTCCATTCCCCACTGTCCAGTCAGAGCTGAAGAAGCTTCTTGGATGAGAAGTGAAATGTCTTCAAAAGAAAAAACCAGAAAATCCAGTTGCCTCCTGAAAAAGCACCTTTGAGATAAACATAACCTCAATGTTGGAGAATCTCTACAAACCAGACTTGAAGCTTTCTCAAACAGGCCTCATAGCATAGTTGTGTTCCCACTCCCATCATCCCCAGTTTGGGGCCCTCCCCCATCATCTTTTTGCAGCTCCCTCATTGGCTGTGTTGGCAGGGACAGATGGGAGCTGTAGTCCAACAAATTGAGCAGATTGGAAGTAGCTGCTGTTATTTCTGCGGTACCTTATTTATTTTTTTCCACAAGCAGAAGCCACATTAATGAATGGCATCAGAAAACCCAAAACAGCCTGATGGAACTTTAGAGACTTTTATTTATTTATTATGGCGCAAGCTGTTTGGGATTACACTTCTCTTATTTTCTTCTTCAGCCCAGGATGTCGATTGAGGCTTATTACATTCTGTTTATTTGTAACGGTGCTGCTAAATTTGACAGGGCAAATTTATGACAACATCATGAATTTTGCAATTATAAAACAACTTACGTTGAGGGAATAGGAAAAAAAAAACCCCACAGATTCTCAAAGGAAGGAAGAAGAGAAGGTGCTAAGAGATAATATTGACTTTAATATGAAGATGAGCCATCTGATCAGCCCTTTGAGACTGGATTTGTCTGGAGTGACTTTCATAATTCCCTCTGAAGTTTGGTCCTATGTCAGTCTGATGACCGCAGAAATTTTTCTCCCTCCTTCTGCCAGCAAGGCAGAAGAGTTTCACAACCTGTACGATGCATGCAGAAAGTTTCTTCATAACTTAAGAAATATAAATGGGCTGCAAGCAAGTAAAGTACCACTTTACAAAGCTTTAGTATGGCCGAACTTGGAATACTGCATCCAGTTCTGGTCACCACAATACAAAAAAAGATGTTGAGTGTTGAGATAATTCCCCGTTAGGAGAATGAGCGCATACAGGGAGACGTATTGAGAGTAGTGTTGGAATAACACACACACAGCACACAGATACACTGTACAGTAAATGTAGGTTTTTACTTCCAGAAAGGTTTAAGCAAAGTTCAAGATAAGCAGTCCAAAGTCATTCACAGGTTAAATCAGTCAGTTTTTCAGTACAGGGATAATTCCAATATCAAAGTCCAGTGTCAAAAACAGTTCAGTATCAGACTTACCGTATTTATCGGCGTATAACACGCACTTTTTTCCCCCTGAAAATAGGGGGCAAATGATGTATGCGTGTTATACGCCGATATAATGTTAAGAAGCCTTCGGTGAATGCTGCTGGGATCGGGGATCAAGGACACAAATGAAAGAAGGGGAGGGAGGAAGCAACCGAAGCCTGTCCTTCTCTCTGGGTCAGCTCTCTCAGTTGCTCTCTCGCTCCTCCACCAGCACAGGAAGAAACTGCTTCAAAGAAGCGGGGGGGGGGGCTTTTCCTGTCGCCTCTCCCCCACCCCCACCCCGTCCGCCCGCCCGCCCGCCCGCAGTGCTCCGTTCTGCCTGCCTGCCTGCCTTCGTTAATGGTTGAATCGGAACAGCTTCGGCTGAGTAAAAGAGGCGAATAGTTATTATTCTCAGCCGAAGCTGCTCCCAAACAACCAGAAACTAAGGCAGGCAGGCAGAATTTTTTTAAATTTTTTTTCCTGAAATTTCCCCCTTAAAATGAAGATGCGTGTTATACGCCAGTGCGTGTTATACGCCGATAAATACGGTACATCAAATCCATGAATATCAGTCAATTAGGAAAAATGGAGCAATGGCAATACTCTCCAACAGAAGGAAAAAGAGACTCACGGAGACTTCTTCTGAGACTAAGACTAAAACAACCCAGGTTTCTGGCTCCATCTTATGGCCATTTGCTGAACCACACCCAATTATACTTTGAGCATTCCCTTAAAGAGACAGTATTAAAATGTCTATCCTGGTTTATATATTTCCAACCCAAATATCTGTTAGGTGACTTACATTCCTAACATTGAGACTCTAGAAAGAGTGCAGAGAAGAGCAACGAAGACAATAAGGGGGCTGGAGACTAAAAGATATGAAGAAGGGCTGCAGGAATGGTACATGGCTAGTTTAATGAAAAGAAGGACTGGGGGTGGCATGATAGCAGTGTTTCAATATTCGAGGGGCTCCTACAAAGACAAGGGGGTCAACCTATTTCCCAATAGCAGCAAAAGGCAAGATGAGAAACAATGAGTGGAAACTAACCAAGGAGAGAAGCAATCTAGAACTAAGGAGAAATTTCCTAATGGGGAGAACAATCAACCAATGGAATAGCCTGCATTTAGAAATTGTGGGTGCTCCATCACTGGAGGCTTTTAAGAGGAGACTGGACAACCATTTATCTGGAATGGTATAGGGTCTCCTGCTCAGTCAGGAGGTTAGACTAGAAGACCTCCAAGGTCCCTTCCAACTCTATTATTCAATGTTTGAGCAAAGACAGAGTTCTTAAAATGCTAAACTATCACAAGAAATTCAAGCTGCAAGAAACATTTGCAGAATCCAAAAAAAGGAATGAGAAAATAAGAGAATTTCTTGCAAGAATTCCCTTGGAAGGATTTGGGGCTTTTAAAAAAAATCAATAACTTTGGATACCTTAAATTATACCGATGGCCACTGTACAAATCCTTCTAGTCCCGCCTTTATACTGTAGATGAGCAAATTGATGAGCTCTTGTTTCAAAGGCATATAATGCTCTTTTAGCAGGAAAACAAATGTTACTTCTTGTTTGTATATATGCCAGAATTTCAGCCTGTGAAAAGAAAGGCCGAGGGAATCTGAATGAAATGTCTAACTGAATTTTCAAGGTTCCATCTACTTCAGAGCATTTACAATGACTCTAGCTTGTTTCAGACATCTCTAGCAAATTGATACGGCACAATCGCTGAGAAAACGATTGCAGAAAGATGCTTGCAGATTTTGAGTTGCCACGGATTAGTTTGGGGCAACTGATGTAAACTTGCAATAAACCAGGAGCCAGGATAGACTTCAAAAGTACAACAAATGTATTTCATGTTATCTATACACAAGAACCTGATCTACTTTGTGATGAAGTAAAAAAAGAATGGAGTATGATTCACACTCTAATAGAGAAACTCCTGAAAATGGAGCTAGAAATGAAACCAGAATTTTTTTTCCTTTTGGGACTAATGGAAAAAGAACTGGAGAAAAAATTTGGAACTTTGTTACTATATATGTTGACAGCAGCATATGCAAAAATGGAAGGACACTTCAATTCCCACCATGGAAGAATCATTGCAGATGTTGATGGCATTGGCTGAAATGGCAAAATTGACTATTTTGATTAAAGAAAAGAATATAAGTATTTTTGTTTCCACCTGGAAACCACTTCTGAACTTCGTGCTTGATATGGAAAAGAATGAAACTCTGACTTTGGGTTTACAGATTGGACTGATAGATCTTTATAGAAATGACTTTTTCATACTGTTAGGGAAAAGCAAAAAGCTGTGATTTGATGTTAATGCCTTTTTTTACTGTAACAGAGAGAGACAGAAGTCAATGCTTCGTTTCCTTCCTTTATTCTTCTTATCTTTCCTCACTTCTCTTTCCCCTCCCTCCTCACTGCTCTTTTATTTACTTTTGTATTTTGTATTTTATAATACTTCATAACTTAATAAAAATGTTTTTTTTAAAGAATCTGATCTATTCACAATCCAGGCAAATTGGTGCTAAATAAGAGTCAATGGAATTCACAGGGGGCTGGGTTTAGGTCTCTTGTGAATGCATAGTGACTCCAAACTGATGATGGGTTGACTCCAGTGGTGGGATTCAAATGTTTTTACTACCAGTTCTGTGGGCGTGGCTTGGTGGGTGTGGCAGGGGAAGGATACCGTAAAATCTCCAGTCAGAGGTGGTATTTGCTGGTTCTCCAAACTTCTCAAACTTTCTGCTACTGGTTCTCCAGAACTGGTCAGAACCTGCTGAATATCACCTCTGGTTGACCCTCACCCTTGAGCTATGCTGGGTCATCTTCTATAGTAATTTATCCTATTTTTTCCATTAGGTACCAAAGCATGGAAGTTTGTCACTAGCCACAGAAACAGGAAGACACCCATATAAGACTGAAATCATTGGAGGAGTCGTTGTGCAGACACCCATCTCAGTCAACCAGGTGAGAAAGAATCAGAAATAGAATAGAATAGAATAGAATAGAATAGAATAGAATAGAATAGAA